GAGGGAACTTCAGAGTCCCTTTTGGGGCGCACTGGCAGGCGCGACGCGCCACCCCTGTTTTCCAAAAAAATAACTTTCCTCCTTCATTTTTCCAACTCTAAACCATCTCAACTTCAAAGGTTACAGCCCCAAACACTAAGAATCATAAAACCTTTCAACATACAATAGATTAAACTCGAAAACACGACCGGAAACATGTCCCAAATCAACAAGAACTTCAACACAACCACATGACTTCAACAACCACAACCACGAGACTTCAACAACCACAACTAAATCTTTTCTCGGAAATTAAAACGAGTTTGGCGTGTGGGGGAAAGAACCAACCTGACACTATGATCTCACATACCTTAATAGGGATCACCCCCGACGAAATCCACTACGATCTTGACGAACTTTGCTTCTTCTTCACTTTCTCCTCTTCTTTCTCTCTTCACTCACAACCCTAACTCTAACTTTAAAAAGGAAAAACTGATTTAAAATCAGTCTAAAACATTAATATAACCAAAAGAATTAGCTAGGGAAAAGACCAAAATACCCTTACAAATTCGGACTAAACTGCCCTGTGCCAACAGCCCAAATTTCAAAGGGCATAACTCACTCATACGAACTCGGAATCGAGCAAACTCAGCGGTGTAGGAAAGATCATTCCAAGGGCTTTCCAAACATAACTGGAAATACACCTAAATCATCCTGAGCTAGGAATTATGACTGATCAAAGTTGACCAAAAACTCATTTTTTTCCCATACTTAAACCAAATTTCCAGATTTTTAAATTCTTTCCAGAAATGACTATTTCCAAATCTAAGCTTCTTCGTAGTTATTTCAAATTGCAAGATGTCACATAGCTCTTATAATTGAAATGCAGATTTTATATTAAAAATTTGGTCCTTTGTCATTGTAGAATCTGGTGCATATTTTATTGAGAATACCTGGTGCATCAATATTGAGAATTCTAATGTAAATTGAGCATATGTGCTTATAATCAACGGAAATATTTGGTGCATTGAAACATTTTATTAGCACATCTGGTGCACTTTTAGTGAGCACATTCATGTCTAGTGAAGTTCGGAATGGATATGATGTACGTAGATCTAATCCTTACCTTGTGAAGATAGAGATATAGTTTCTGATAGATTCTAGGCTTTAAAAAAGTAACTTCAAAGTAGATACATCCAAGGTAAAATATCTATGATACTTGATGTTGTTGTAAGGGCAACAAACAATGATAACTAACAGGGAAGTGATGCAATTTTTGAAGATCTGTTTGCTTGCAAAACAGTTTACGTAGCTCTGGTGTTTATCAAGGGTTGGGACCATTTGTCCAACTCCAAGATTCGTATTTCAATTTTTATACGATCACATCTTTCTCATATTGATCAAGGCTTTTTTTGGGTTTGAATTAAGGGGACAAGAAGTAAGAGCATAGATCCTTTAGATTCTACATCGCAACTTATCAAAATCACATTACATGAGTTGATTCAAAAATATGAATAAAAACAACAAAAGAAATACTAAAGTTAATTTGCAATATCTTCACTTCAACCAGCTACTAGCATGAAACCAACAAAATATCTTCACTTCAACCAGCCGCAAAAACTCAAAAAATTCTTCACTTCAATCAGCTATCAAATAATCAACAAAAATATGGCCACTTCAAAATAGCTATCCTTCTGAAACATATAGAATCACCATTAACTAAGATATAAACCCAAAAAAGAAGTAGGTGTGACCAAATAAAAAAGATACCAGATTAAATATTCATGTCGAACAACGCAACATTATCATCATGGATAAAATTTGTTCTTCTAACCTGTAGAAGGAAAAAAATCAGATTCTTTTAAGATTTCAACCTAACTTACTTAGGTATAAAAATATTTACCGGCAACTTTTCAGGTACAAATGAAGTAGAAGACATCCAACAAGCTGACTCAAAAACTCCTCATTTTGGCTGTACATAGTTAAACTTGCAAGTTCTCATATTATGGCCAAACTTGTGCCATCGACTACAGTTAACTGGTGTTTGCTTCTTCTTCATCTTAGTTCTACTTGATCCTACTTCATCTTGTTCTTTCCTTCTCAACTTTTGCTTTCTCCCTGACTTATTTTGTCTTGAAAAGATTAGAGGCAAAGGAGGGATCTTGCCTGATTTAGGCCACAACTGTGAACCATTTATTGGAAGAATAGCTAGTTCATAGATTCGCTTATACATTTCCACCTTATAGCAGTCATCCACATAATTAATAACCTCGTCATTTTTATGCCAAATTGCCGAAATAGCATGCTTGCAAGGGATTCCTGTAATGGTCCATTTTCTACAGCTACATTTTCTGCCAGCAAGGTCCACAGCCCAAATGTCGCTCACACTTCCGCCAAGAATTTTAAAGTTCCATTCATTCGACTTTTTAGGAATAAAACCAGCAGCATCTTTTTCATTTTTGTGCAGAATACTCTTGATCCGAGGGCAAATATCATCAGAATTCCATCTATCAGCTTTATCCCTGTTAGCTTGTAATCTAGCCATAAGAAGATATCTTAATTTTTCCAACAAAGTAATGATTGGCTAATCTCGAGCATCAAGTATCATACTATTAAACAATTCACACATATTATTCAACAAAATATCACACTTAGCATTGGGAGAAAAATGTGATTTAGACCATTCAGTAGGTTCCTTTTCTTTCAACCATACAACAACTTCGACATCCAATTTAACAATGTTATTGATGCGAGCATTAAAAAATTCCACAGTTGTAGCACTTGCAGCAGCCCAAAGTGCACATTTTAGTGAGGAACCACTAAAACCAGTCCTCTTGAAATTATTATGAAGATGTCTCACGCAAAATCTATGACTTATAGATGGCAAAACTTCATTAAACGCTTCAATGAGATCTTTTTGTTTGTCAGACATAAAGGTCCAATCAGCTTGATCATTAATCTCCAAATCATCAATTAAGTAGGTCAAAAACCATGACCATGTCTCCCTAGTTTCCTTTTCTACAACTGCATAGGCCACTAGAAAAATATTATTATTGGCATCCAAGCCAACTGCAGTCAACAACTGATATCCATACATTTGACCCTTCAACCAACACCCATCCAGACCCAATATTTTTCTACATCCAGCCTTCAACCCCTCCTTACAAGCAGCAAAACAAACATAGATTCTTTGAAATCTATATGGTTTATTCGGCATTTCGTTTTGAGTTAGCTTCATATACATTGAATTTCCAGGATTTGACCTTCCAATTTCAAAGCAGTAGTCCCAAAGGATAGAAAATTGTTCTTTCACATCTCCATCAATTAATGCAAGTGTCTTCTTTTTAGCCTTTCTAGCTTGAGCTAAAGTAACATGAGCTTTAAGTCCCACACTGACCATGTCTCTAAAGTCAGACCGCTTCCACTCTCTGTTTTGACTGATAGCATCAAGATACATTCTTGCAATGAAAGAAGAGGTTATTGTCTTGTTGCGATGGTTCCTACGTTTGTGGGTATGCTTGGAATCATATGTTTAATATGAAATGCCTTGTCTGGATGCATTACCGATGCCATAATTACCCATTTACAATCTAAATTTATACACTTCGCTTTTGCTCTTTTTTCCATCATTATTGATCCACCTAATACTCTTCCCAACTTTTACCTCATGAATTGATACCGCATTTTTGAACTCCTCCCTGCTTCCAAATGTATATTCTAATGCTAATATAGGATGTTTTGCTTCAGTTTTTGGGTTATGCTTTGGAAAATGAAAGCACTCATTATCAGAATCACCATTCAAACTCTTCTGATCTTCAGAGTCCACACAATCTGAATCTCCATCTTCATTAGACAATTTCCTCAGAACTTTGTCGTTAATAAGTTTCCTTCCATCCTCAAAGCTTTGCTTTTTTTGTCCATGTCTTTCAAGGATGACATCGTCACCGGATAATTCATTTTCTGAATCTTCAAACTCATCAGAATTGTATGTGTCACCACATTATATATGCTCTTGGTTTAATGTACAATTTGTGTGGCCTATAATCTCACCTGAATCTACTTCAATGTAGGAGTCCAAATGTTCAAAATACAACTCAACTACACTATCATACGAGATAAATTTTTTAATTGAGAGAGTTTCTACTTCAGTAGACACTAATCTCCACCTATCGCTGAACTTTCCAAATTTATGCCAAAATATTTCCGAGTCATTCATATAGCCGCACATAACAGCCATCTGCTTCAAATCTGCTAAATTAAGGTTTTTTGCTTCAACATAATCAAAATAGTCCACCATTCCTCCAACATAAGTTTTGCTTGGTTGATGCTTCATCAGTCCCATATGATTTATTTTAATACTAAAAAATCCAGCCTCGAACACCGGATCTGGAAAAAAAAATATGAGGACCCCACCTACATATATATTTTTGGGACCACTAGTGAATATTTTTTACGAGATTAAAGGCTTAGGTTCTGAGACCCTTATCTAAAACTTTATGCTTTTGTAGAAAAACTCAAAACTAACAAAAGACAATACTTTTACTTAGACATAGACATAAGAAGTCATAAGAGAAACAGTAAAAAGAGTAGTAAAATACACGCAAATCATAAAATCTAAAAAAAAACATACCATAATATAGAGTTGATTCTTTGTCACCATTTCTTTTGATGAACATTCTTGGTAATAAAGAAGAACATAAGTATTTTTACTGCATATATAATTCTATAGTGAAACTTGAAAGAGATGAAGATGGAGAAAATTAGGGCACCTTTGGCGCTATGGCTTATGAGGAGATGAGAAAGTTTTCGCGGTTTATTTTGTAGTGGGACCCGGCGTTAAAGTTAACCTGATTTTTTTGATGTATTTGTTAGTTTTAGGTCAAAGGATCAATTTGATCCTCTTTTATAATATATTAAGGACCATATAGATCATGTGGAATATATTAAAGATCAACATAAAACAACCCTTATACATCAAGGACCATTTTGATCATTTTCTCTTCATTAGTCAGCTAATGGTGGGAACTTAAAGGAAACTATCGGACTTCACTTGTACGGACTCATAAATTTAGATTAAAAAATAGACCGTTGGAGTGATTAATTTTAAAAACAGGTGCATCACTGTCATCATAAACAGAGGTAAACCCACTCAACTTTAACTACTATTGAAAAGTTTTAAATTTGAATGTATTTATATTTTAAAAATCATGCAGCACCATGATGAAAAAAAAAGAAGAAGATTTCTTTATGAAAAGTATATTCCATGAAAGGAATAAATAAATAAAAAGTGTACCTCTTCCAAATTTATTAGATAAACCATGATGAAATTATATTGTAATCTCTTAATAGTGGTGGTGTTGCTGTCTTGTACTCTCTCCTTTGCTGATCAATAATGATGATGAGCCTCATATTATCCTTTAAATATAAAATATTATTTGGCTAACCTTTAATCTTCTAGAGAATTGTTACTTTGCTATTAAATATTAAAGATGAATGTTAGTATGTATCCCTCAAATTTTAAGCACTGACCCTTGATTTCCTTACGTTCATCATTAACTGCAATTTTAAGTTCTGAATATTAAGTAGGGGAAGAAAATATGTAATTAAGAGAATTAAGATTGTTGCACATTATATCTAATAAAAAGAATCATTAAAGTGGGAGGACAAAAGTTGAGTAATTGAATGTAAAGACTTTTTGAGATATTACAAATAAAATAATTAATTAAATGAAGGAAAAATGACCAAAAAAAGGAGAAAAAAGATAAATATAAATGGAGGTCATAGAGAGGTGTCACGTCATCTTTTCTATATATATAGAGAGATTTGGCAACACTTATAAAGCATAATCTATATTATCTAAGGGCACATTTTTCAAGGGTTGCTTAATTTTTTGTAGCCAAAAGGCTTAAACAAAGACCAAGCCTGAAAAACGTGCCCTTAGATAGTTTTGGCAACATTTTTTAAGTGTTCTTTAAAATTAGTGTGGCGTGGACCAAATTTATTGTAGTGTGAACTCCTAGATACAGTAGATTGCTTTTTTGATTTTCATTAAATCAGTAAGAGCCTGTTTGGATGGGCTTTTAAGCTGATCAAACTGGCTTAAAAGCCAGTTTTTAACTTATTAGAGTGTTTGACAATTATCAAAGTGACTTATTTTAAGTCAAAAATGACTTATTTTAAGCCCAAAAGCTAAAAGCTAGGTGAGGGGTGCTTTTTTTTTTTTTAACTTAAAAGCTCTTTTATGTTGACCAAGTATATTACCTTTTTGCCCTTAATTCTTTTATACAATTCCCAAATTGCCCATATTGAATTAACCCTAACATCTTCTTATTATTTTTATTATTATTATTATTAT